GGTCTGCACTTTATAAAAGTTTACGATCTTCACGATTACTGACCATAAAATTAACTAGTCTATGTGTGGAAATTTCGGATGGAATCTTTCATACCTTGATTTTCTACATTCTACCCGAATAATGATTTATATATTTAATTGTTTCACTGTTGTTATAATTATCACTACTTTAATAATATAACCTACCACTTTTGTCAATAAAATCTTCTTTATGTTGATTTGGTATATGGAAATTTGAAATGATACAAACTTATGTTGCATTCTAATATAACTATTCCCTTACCTACTTACTTACTAACTTACGCCTGTTACTCCCAATGGAGCATAGGCCGCCGACCAGCATTCTCGAACCCACTCTGTCCTAGGCTTTCTTTTCTAGTTCCATTCAATTTTTGTTCATTTTTCTCATGTCTGTCTCCACTTCCCAGCGTAATGTGTTTTTTGGTCTTCTTCTTTTCCTTTGGCCATGAGGATTCCATGTGAGGGCTTGTCTTATGACGCAGTTGGGTGAGTTCCCCAATGTGTGTTCTATCCACTTCCAGTGACACTTCCTGATTTCTTCCTCCGCTTCAATCTGGTTTGTTCTTTCCCACAGTTGGTTGTTGCTAATAGTGTCCGACCAACGGGTCCGAAGTATTTTGCGTAGACAATTGTTAATAAACACCTGTATCTTCTGGATGATGGCTTTTGTAGTTCTCCAGGTTTCTGCCCCATACAGTAGTACTGTCTTGACATTTGTATTGATAATCCTGACCTTGGTGTTGGTTGAAAGATTATTCAACTATTCCCTACCTATATATTATTACTTTGAGTACACAAGTCACGACGGATGAGTGAAATCTGTTTAAATATCAATATGGGGTTGTGGAGATTGGATAGATTTTGGTTCAGATCATGAAACGATTGGTGTTTGACCACCATTAAAAACCTGGAAGTAACAGAATGGCCGTATGGGACAACTCAGCAGTATGCATCCAAGATCTCACACGTGAGCCTTGAACCTAGGTCCTTCAGTCTCGCATGAGAACGCTTAACTTCTAGATCACTGAACAGGTAACCAAAGGTGTTAATATCTTACTTCAACCAATCCACAAAATTACGCGACCATCTTCCATCGTCTGAGATGGACACTTGTCTATAACCGGACATAGATTAGCTCCATTGATCACCAGAAATCCGAGGGAATTTTAACTTACAATTCAGACAGAGTTAATCATACAAGAACTAGTAAACAGATAGTATATATGATTACATGAGTTTGTATGCCTATATATATCACTAAATACTAACATCAATACATAGTATATTGTAACAGTTGAGATCATGAGTCAGTTGAAGCAAGATCACCATGGAAAACCTGGAAGCACTGGACAGTCGTTTCATCCTACTGTGGGACTCCTTATCAGTGCGCAACCACCATCCTGCCTCAGAAGATTTGAACCCAGAACCTATTAGTCTCACGCGTGAACGCTTGACCACTAGACCATCGAGGAGTTCCACAGTAGGACAAAATGACCGTCCAGTACTTCCAAGTTGTCCATGGTAGTCTAGCTTCAATTGACTTATGATCCCAACTATTGAAATTACTATAATACGCACCAAAAAACCCCTTCTGAAATAATATGTAAATATTTATAATTATAAAAGAAAAAAGAAAGAAAACATGTTTCACAGTTGATTAGAAAATTTCCCTTTGATGTATCCTAGAAACAGTTAGAAATGGTAGTTCTCTGCTTCCTTTTTCTTTTTTTTTTGTTTTTTCTTTGGAAATCTCCAATTTTTTTTATTTAGGATAATACAAATAACTGAACAATATTGGGTGAGACTATAATTTATAGACGACCTTTGAGCGATGCTAGACTGACTTTCAGAGTGTGTATACCTAATAAGTAGAACCACATGAGGGTTATAAACCAGTATGTGAGGAATTCGAATTATGATTTACAGTTGATGATTAAAGTTAGAAATTAAATTTAGGGTTTTCATCACAAGCTGACATCAGCTTTGATGCTAAAACGTATTCTAGCCAAAAGGATGAATGAATTTCGCGTCAAAATTCGAGACCTATTATCGTATACCTAATTGGTTCGTCTATAAATTATAGTCTCGCCCAATATTGTTTTCGATTACATCTTCATCAAGTTTTATTCTAAGATGCAGTAATGTATTTATTCACATATATGAAATCATTAAACCAATCAAAGTAGTTTATGAATCAATGATGATAATAGTGGGATAGATTACATAAATAAGTGAAAAGTACAAATTGTATGGTGTGATCGAACTCACTAATGATCAAATGAAATGCTCACTATCACATTAAGTTCCATTGTCCTTGTATGACTATATCTTGTTTTGAAAAGAGCAATGAACAAACATTCTAACAGAATAGCATGAATTCACTTTTTATTTTGTTTAATTCTCATCAGTTGCTTACAATCTGTGATATTTAAGAATCATAATGAAATAGTCGGTTGAAATTACTTACATGAGACGATTTGATTGGAGATTATATTGAAGACATATTCGTATAGAATAGCAAGGGTGTAAACAAATTGAATAGACTTAATATTATAAATATACACACCTTATGTGATGAAAGAACATTGTGACAAACAGTTCAAACGGTTAGAAACAAGTAAACATTGATAGGAATAAAATGAGTAGAGTTCAGTTGATAAAATAAGATTACTGATTTGGAAGATAGTTGAAATAAAACTCAATGATGTGATAAGTGCAAGAAAGAGTTTAAAGAAAAAGAAAAAAATATTAAGATACAGCGAAGGAATATTAGTCACCAAGGCAAGGAAAGATTAACAACCATCTCCTTTTGAACACATAAATTAGGATTCTGGCGTCTTATATCATCTGTTTCAGCAAACTTCAGAAGACTGGAGTTTGGCTGCTTACTAATCACCTTGAATGATTGTAGGGTATCGACCTGATGTCCTGTATCAAAAAGATGTTTGGTGATTGCACTATTTAAAGTCATTCTTTCTCTTGTTCTGAGGCTTTTTGGAACATGTTCAAAAAATCTGAGATATGCCCTTCTTTCTGTTCGGCCGATGTAGCTGCTTTGGCAGGTACACGTAAATGTATAAATACAATTGGCGGTAACATGAAAAGGATGCTGGCTAGCGCAGTATTCAGTCTCCTGTTGATTGTGTTTGCAACCTCGTCACCTTTGAAGTTAAGATTTACAGTAATTTTTTATTGACCATAATTACTTCAGTATTGTTTTCTTTACGCCTTTTATATTGGTCAATAATCTTTAGTGGGTAAAAGTTGTCTCGTAGTCATTTTTCTACGTTCATTAATTCTTCTTCCAGTTTGTCAATGGTACATATCCTTTCTGCCCTATAAAGTAGTGTTTTAACTAATGCCTTCTTGTAACTGAGTGGACAAAAACTGTTGAAATCCAGGTAAAGGCCATTCCAAGTACTTTTTCGATAAAGTGAACGTTGGACTGTCCCGTCTCTCCTACCTTTTATAGCAACATCAAGAAAGTGGAACATGTCATTCTGTTCGTGTTCCATAGTAAATCGTATGTTGGGATGCGCGTTATTGAATAGTTTTAGCAGGCGGATTGCATACTGTTTATTGTTACAGATAATAAATATGTCGTCCACATACCTGGAATATTCTGTCATTTAGCTAATCGCCTGTTTAAGCACCATGTTTTCAAGATACCCCATAAAAATATCTGCCAGAATTGGACCTAGTGGGCTTCCCATTGCTACGCCGTTGATTTGACGATATATGGTGTTATGTGTGTATTGGCTTGATGAAGAACTTTTCCTAAACGCACTTCTACTGATACAACAAAACGTCAAGGAAATGTAGTTTATTATCTAGTTCCTCTTCATATGTAAATTTAATCCCTGGATGTTTGTTGTTAAATATTTTAAATATAGTTCTTATTTTCCACTGTTCTGATCGACAATAACGAAAGTATCATCAACGTAACGACAATATAAGTCAAGCTTATCAATAACATCTTTGAGAGTTCCATTTTCTAGTTTCTGAAGGATAGGACCTAGAGGTGAACCCATAGCAATACCATCAATTTATCTATAATATGTGTTATTAAAGACAAAATAGACATTCATTGTACATTTCAGAAGTAATTCTTTGAGACGAACCTCGGGAATTCCAATATTGATAGAAAAAACCCAAGTGCATTTAAACTTCACCCCATTGCACAAACAAGTGGTTATCAGGAAATAGTAATTAAGTGGATAAAGAGATGGCCTCTGAAACGGATGCTACGTGGTTCGATTCCAAGGGAGAATATCAACTCTAAGATTCAGGTACATCTAGTTGATGAATTCTAACTAGGGTGAAACGCCCATCATGGATTCCAGTTTTAGCCACTATCCACTATAACATGTATGTATATCTAAAAGAAGATTTCTTTATCATATTTTATTAAATAAATCACGGAAATTATCAATGTAAAGTTCCTTTAAAGTTTTCGTTTGAGATCATCAACCAATTAGTGTTAGTTCACTGTTGGAAACCTGGAAGCACTGTGCGACCGTTTCTTTCTATTGTGGGGGTTCCTCAGCATTGAGCATCAACGATCCCGCTCGCTGAGGAGTCTCACAATAGGACAAAACGGCCGTCCAGTGCTTCGAAGTTTTCAACGGTGGTCTAACATCAATCGGTTCATGATCTAAATTAAAAACTTAAGAATCTCCATAACCCCTATACTGATAATATCTTTAAAGTAATGAATTCATCTTATGTCTATTCATTAAGAATTTCATATAATTACTAAATATTCCGTTATTATTAAAGTGTATAATGTATAACCTCGTCTGACCGCTCACTTTATCCATTGATAGTTTATTGTTCCTATGTAAGATTGACATTCTTCTTCTCATTTTTCCTATTCTCTTTTTTCTTTTCTTTCTGTAAACTTTTCTCAAATTTCTGATAACGAATAGAAATCATCTATAAATATAAACAAAACAATTCATAAGGAAATTGTTTGATGAATGTTACAGTTAAATTTTCGCCAAACTAAAATAAAAGAAAGAAAGAAAGAAACAAAGAAAGAAGAAGAAGAAGAAGAAGAAGAAGAAGAAGATGATGATGATGATGATGATGATGATGATGATGATGATGATGATGATGATGATGATGATGATGATGATGATGATGATGATGATGATGATGATGATGATGATGATGATGATGATGATGATGATGATGATGATGATGATGATGATGATGATGATGATGATGATGATGATGATGATGATGATGATGATGATGATGATGATGATGATGATGATGATGATGATGATGATGATGATGATGATGATGATGATGATGATGATGATGATGATGATGATGATGATGATGATGATGATGATGATGATGATGATGATGATGATGATGATGATGATGATGATGATGATGATGATGATGATGATGATGATGATGATGATGATGATGATGATGATGATGATGATGATGATGATGATGATGATGATGATGATGATGATGATGATGATGATGATGATGATGATGATGATGATGATGATGATGATGATGATGATGATGATGATGATGATGATGATGATGATGATGATGATGATGATGATGATGATGATGATGATGATGATGATGATGATGATGATGATGATGATGATGATGATGATGATGATGATGATGATGATGATGATGATGATGATGATGATGATGATGATGATGATGATGATGATGATGATGATGATGATGATGATGATGATGATGATGATGATGATGATGATGATGATGATGATGATGATGATGATGATGATGATGATGATGATGATGATGATGATGATGATGATGATGATGATGATGATGATGATGATGATGATGATGATGATGATGATGATGATGATGATGATGATGATGATGATGATGATGATGATGATGATGATGATGATGATGATGATGATGATGATGATGATGATGATGATGATGATGATGATGATGATGATGATGATGATGATGATGATGATGATGATGATGATGATGATGATGATGATGATGATGATGATGATGATGATGATGATGATGATGATGATGATGATGATGATGATGATGATGATGATGATGATGATGATGATGATGATGATGATGATGATGATGATGATGATGATGATGATGATGATGATGATGATGATGATGATGATGATGATGATGATGATGATGATGATGATGATGATGATGATGATGATGATGATGATGATGATGATGATGATGATGATGATGATGATGATGATGATGATGATGATGATGATGATGATGATGATGATGATGATGATGATGATGATGATGATGATGATGATGATGATGATGATGATGATGATGATGATGATGATGATGATGATGATGATGATGATGATGATGATGATGATGATGATGATGATGATGATGATGATGATGATGATGATGATGATGATGATGATGATGATGATGATGATGATGATGATGATGATGATGATGATGATGATGATGATGATGATGATGATGATGATGATGATGATGATGATGATGATGATGATGATGATGATGATGATGATGATGATGATGATGATGATGATGATGATGATGATGATGATGATGATGATGATGATGATGATGATGATGATGATGATGATGATGATGATGATGATGATGATGATGATGATGATGATGATGATGATGATGATGATGATGATGATGATGATGATGATGATGATGATGATGATGATGATGATGATGATGATGATGATGATGATGTAACAGACTCTTAATATCTTTATTGAGTTATTAAACAACGACAACAATAATAATAATAATGAGCCATTATCACTACATACTTATGATTTGTTTGTCTCCTGGTATATATGGATTTGATCATATATATCTAAATCAATTGACTAGATTGAGTAGTTGATTATTATTATTATAGTCTACTTTCAATAGTTACGATAACATGCTACATGTTATTCATGTATAAGTAAAGCAAAATTTCATCGAATATCATATTGTTTAACTTTAAACTGCGGTAGATATGAAGATCTTTATTATTGTTGATGGATAATCGTTTGGTAGTCAATGAACATCCAATCATCTCATTGGAAATGTTCACTGTTTATGAATGAAAATGATAAATTAGAAAACAAGATAAAATAAAGATCATACTGGATAATAAATCAATATTGCCAGGTAATAAAAGATGGGGAAGAAAAACGTTTTTAAACATAGAAAGGTATTTGAGTCTTCATATGGTTAAAGCTTTATTAAGTCTTAGTAGTTACCTTTGAGTATTCCTATACAAAATTTGACTTGATATTAACTCTACAGTCAGTTTCTGTAAACGGCGAGACTCTAATTTATGGACGACCTTTGAACAAATCTCAAGTGACTTTGGGAACTATTAGCCAATCAGCAAACAGTCAGTACAGAGTAAAATGATGTTATACAAAACCAAGGAAATAAAGTGTATTCACTTCTTATACGTGTTTCAAAAACTTGTCAAGGTTATAAAGAGGTTCAGAGGTTCTAAAGTCGTAATGCATGCAGTAGAGGAAATCATTCACTCGGTTACAGAATAGTCGGCCTCTGGAGCCATGATAAAGTCTGAAAAACTCTTTCAGCCTCGACCACATAGCTTCAATATTGTTTATGTGCACTCCGGTTGTTCAGTGCACAAAATGCTACTTGGGGATAACGACACGATGCACACAACCAAGCCTATGTAGGAGTTTGTACGCTCTCCAAACATCCGTATATATTGTAGTATCTGGCTGCAACCAGTGTTACTGGTGCTTTTATTATCCAGTCCTAATCTACCTTGGTTAGGAATTATATATATAGGGTTTTCATCACGAACTGACATAAGCTACAATGCTAAAAATCTGTTTAGTCAAATGGATGAAAGGCTTTCGCGTTAAAATCCGAGATCTGTTATCTTATACCTGATTGATTGGTCCACAAATTATAGTCTCGCCGTTTTATTTGTTATAGCCTCTCAGTTATCACGTTTTGTACAAAATTCCCTGTGAACCGAACGTACGTTAGTATTAAGCACTGAAGTTGGCGCCGTAACCTTGAAATCTCGCCTCTGATTGACTTGTCCATAAATTAGAGTCTCGCCCAATAAACTACTATTCAATACAGTAAGATATTGTTTTGATTAGACTATTATAAGTCTTATCTTTGTAGTTCTGATGAACTCTATCTTATTGTTACATTATCCAAGTTGACCAAAAGAAAGTAACTTTTTTTTCAACTTATTGTTCCTGATTCAGAACCTGAGTAAATTTTGTAACTGTCATTTACTTCTCTCTTTGAAAACAGTCTCACACCAATATGATAGAGCTTCGTATTATTGTCTTTACTCATCCTTCAACTGGCATGAATTTATAGTAACTATCCTACAATCAATTTTGATTATGGTTAACATTGGTTAAACCGTTTTAATAACTTACTTAATAGACAATGTTATTTGGATAGTAACAATTTGCATACTTTTTGGACCGTTATGATCACTAGAGAGTACATGACAGACTCTAGCTAAAATGTTGATTGCTTAAATATCAGTCGATGATTCATCATCATCCTCCCCATGTATGTATGTACTCAAATCATCGTATAAGCTTTTGCTTTGCCTTACTGAGTCCTTATGCAGTTTGACTATAAATTTGCCCATGTAATTACTTGCATATACATATTCACCTCTCTGTTTCAAATTCGCTCGATGTGATTGTAGCATTGTGATCTCTGTACCATCCCCCAATAAAATGAAGTTGATGGACACATTCCGTCTATTCTATAGTAATCTATTAACCTCTCAGACATTTTGATGAATATTGACAGCCACAACGATGTCTCTGATTGTGCTTCTCTGTAGACTAATTGAAAACTAAAGAATTAAATTTTTGATTGAAATCATGAACCGATTGATGTCAGACCACTGTTGGGAACTCGGAAGCACTGGACGGCTGTTTCATCTTAGTATGGGACTGCTCAGCAGTGCGCACGCACGATCCTTCTCGTGGGATTCGAACCCAGGGCCTTCAGTCTTGCACGCGAACGCTTAACCTACTGGATCACTGAGCCGGTATCCAATTGTGTTAGTGTCTAACATTTATCAATCCACGAAATTGCGCGACCACCTTCCATTGTACTGAGGTAGATACCTGTCTCTACCCGACACGGATTAGCTCCACTGGTCACGGCCTCTTACTAGAACTCCAAGAATTTCCTCACGAATCTAGTCACTAGTGAACACATGTTAATTATCAGTATTAAATACGGACCAAGAAATACATATATTGATTGTTACATAATTTTGTTGGAGTTTAGTTCTTTGAGCTAAATGATCGTTTGATCGTGAAACTTTTATCATTCATCAAGTAAATCTTCAGATAGAATTGAACTATTCGAATTTCTCCATATATATAGTTCACAGTTTATCCTGTAAACCTTAATGTTCATTCGTCACCTTGTTGATCTTATAAACCATAATCAAACTATTCAGTTGACAGAACGAAATTACATTCAAATCATTAATCTGAACCATGAATCATCTCTATCATCAGTTACTTAATATCAGAACCTGTTATCTACCTATCTATCTATCTATCTATCTATCTATCTATCTATCTATCTATCTATCTATCTATCTATCTATCTATCTATCTATCTATCTATCTATCTATCTATCTATCTATCTATCTATCTATCTATCTATCTATCTATCTATCTATCTATCTATCTATCTATCTATCTATCTATCTATCTATCTATCTATCTATCTATCTATCTATCTATCTATCTATCTATCTATCTATCTATCTATCTATCTATCTATCTATCTATCTATCTATCTATCTATCTATCTATCTATCTATCTATCTATCTATCTATCTATCTATCTATCTATCTATCTATCTATCTATCTATCTATCTATCTATCTATCTATCTATCTATCTATCTATCTATCTATCTATCTATCTATCTATCTATCTATCTATCTATCTATCTATCTATCTATCTATCTATCTATCTATCTATCTATCTATCTATCTATCTATCTATCTATCTATCTATCTATCTATCTATCTATCTATCTATCTATCTATCTATCTATCTATCTATCTATCTATCTATCTATCTATCTATCTATCTATCTATCTATCTATCTATCTATCTATCTATCTATCTATCTATCCACACATCTATCTATCTATCTATCTATCTATCTATCTATCTATCTATCTATCTATCTATCTATCTTTCTATCTATGTATCTATCCATCTATCTATCTATCTATCTATCTATCTATCTATCTATCTATCTATCTATCTATCTATCTATCTATCTATCTATCTATCTATCTATCTATCTATCCACACATCTATCTATCTATCTATCTATCTATCTATCTATCTATCTATCTATCTATCTATCTATCTTTCTATCTATGTATCTATCCATCTATCTATCTATCTATCTATCTATCTATCTATCTATCTATCTATCTATCTATCTATCTATCTATCTATCTATCTATCTATCTATCTATCTATCTATCTATCTTTCTATCTATGTATCTATCCATCCACACATCTATCTATCTATCTATCTATCTATCTATCTATCTATATATATATATATATATATATAATAACGTAATAAATGAAATATATATCGACATAAGTGTATTCTTCTTTCATTAAGAGGTTAGAATAACTTGACTTGTTTTCGATACCATCACTTGATTTACTTCAAACAGAGATGTTTCCTTTGAGAAAAATGAAAAAAAAGATGTACAATCAATCGATATATCTTTTTAAAAGTTTTGTTTCCAAGTATATCTATATTGTGTATCCAAGAGATTAGAATAGTTTAAATCTAATTAGTAACAAGTGGTTTCAGGTCATTGATTAAATTAGAATTAAATTTAAATATCTTAGATTAGGTTTTCTTTTCTTTTTTTAAATTTTAATTGTTTATTTTTATTAAATGAAACTTCTTTTAGTATTTATTCATTAAATATTCAGAATGGTTATGAACCAACAACTTTACCATATATAACTAGACTATCATGGGAAACCTGAAAGTACTGGACGAGCGTTTCATCTTAGTATGAAACTTCTCAGCAGTGAGCATCGAATATAATGCTTAACCCCGAGAGAACTAAGCCAGTCAGTCTGCATCCAACGGTGTTAATGTCTAATTTAAACTGATCCACAAAATTGAGCGACATATTCGCCATTGTCTTCAGTGAGTTACTATCTTACAACAGATACGGTTGAACTCCAATGATCACAACAGTTCACTAGAACTCCAGGAAGTTCCTCTTATAGACAGTCACTAGTGAGCATATGATGATTATAAACAGAAAAAGATTTTATGGAGATTGTAATAATTTAATAATTGAATTCATAAGTCAGTTTAAGCTAGACCATCATCGAAAATCTGAAACCACTGGACGGCCGTTTTTGAGTTCTAGTGAGAAGCCGTGACCAATGAAGTTCAACCGGGTCTGTTGTGAGATAATAAATCACTGAAGACAATGGTGGACGGTGGCTCAATTTCGTGAATTAGTTGAAGTTAGACATTAACACCAGTGAATGCCGACCGGCTCAGTTGTCTAGAGGTTAAGCGTTCGTGCGCGAGACCGATAGGTCATGGGTTATAATCTCGGGAAGTATTATATTGGATGCTCACTGCTGAGAAGTCCCATACTAGAATGAAACTGTCGTCTAGTACTTTCAGGTTTTCCATGGTGGTCTAGCTTT